CTACACACACACTTTCCTCTCTAAAGGAGCAATGAACCACAGTTCGGGCTATGAAATTTAAAAGTTTTAGAATTTTGCTGTGCGGGGTCCTAACTGCAAGGTGAACTGCAAGCTCAGAGTGACCCTGGTCCTAAAGCTCAGAAAAACTCTCTGCTTGAACCTTGGGGTGAGAAAAATGGTGCTAATCTAAATGTAAGTGGTTGGAGAATATCAATGCAATCACATCTAATACCTGTAATTCAGACTGTTCCAATCAGGTAAGCCAGGAAAACCAACCCAAACCTGAACTGTCCGGTCCAGAAGCCTTCTGACAGAGCTTCGGTGCTTTAGCAGAGCTCCATAATTGAACATTTACTACTGTAGTTACCTGCCTAATAGCAAGAGTGGGCATCCCCTAGTTCCTTCCACTTAACAGAAGAATTGTATTTATTTTTTTCCTCCAGTGAATAATTCTTTTGTGCTTAGTGTTCTTTGCCTTTATCACAGATACGGCTAGTATGATCTTGGGTATGGCGTGACCTGGTAGGTGTGCTCCAGACCCTGCACAAGGCGCTTGCAGTGCCTGCACCCGTGTGTCGGCACTGAGGATTGGCTTTCACAGGCCACCTTTTCTGCCGCAGCTGGGCTATGGTATAAGGGGAAGGAGTGGTCAAAGTATGAGAAAAGGGCAGAACCAGACTAGATTTCAGTGGATTGATGAATTGGCAAGAAACTTTAATACACAAATATAAGTAGCACGGGGACAAGGATCATCTGCTTTGGGGGAGGAGAACTGCAGTGTTGAAACAAGTTTTGGTTTCCTTCTGTTCTTTTGCTTGCTTGCTTGTTTTTAAAGACTACAGAAAAGACGCTTTTGAAATTACTGGGCTGGAGAGTGGGTGCAATGAAGGGAAGAGAGACTCTGTCATGAATACATAGTTGATGGCAGAAGTATTTTAAAGAGCTTAGGAACTGCAGATTTGCTGGAAGAGTGTGAACAATTTCTCCAGCTTGACTCTAACAGTGGCACTTTTGGACCCTTCAGGAGTTGTAAGACTATTTATATAGTGCTAGCTTCTGCATGTGACCAACCAACTGACCAAGCAGAGGTACCTGGGGACATATTGTCATGTGAAGTCAGCATGCTGCCTCCACACCTCAGTGATGTCACTCGGGCATAGTAACCAACTGGTGCAGAGTAAGGTCTGGCATGCCTTCGACGTGAATTGGAAATTGTGTTTAAGGAAGTACTACCTGTCATTCACAATTCATGTACTTGCAGATAATGAAAGATTTTTGAAACTGATTGCTCTAGCTAGTTAATCTCTCTCCCCGCCCCCCCC